TATGTAGACCATATGAACAAACACGTATTTTTGACAATCTATTTCTAAAATAAGTGTGACTCCCACGTATCAAATATGTTCGAAATAGTTTAATTTGTTGTAACACTCCCGATCAGGATCAATAGTATTCAAATGATTTACCTTAACCTCTAAGATTTTTAAATCAGCGACAACTTTTTAAAAACAATTAGGTGATCTACAAGTGATGTACCTTCTGTTGTATGATGAGAATAAAAGTACTACTTCAAATGCAATTTGTTGGTTAGACTCTTCGTTATGCATAATTTCTCCAACTTCAACTATAACGCAGCTGCAATTGTCTCCTTTTTGAAGAATATGATTCGAAAGATGAAGATGAATCACAGGGCTTTTCGATTCTTACGTTGTTTCTCCTCCATCGACCAATTTTAGGACATCTTGTCAAGTCCCTAAAAAGCATCGTCCAAATCCTTCTGAGCATGCACTGCTCACATCTTTACCTGTCACAACGAAAATATACTTCAGCAATCCAGAAAGGGAACATCATACTACATGGTTGCTAACACAAGAATCAAACTTCAAACTCTGATACCATTTGTTAACAAATTAGCAATAATTATGTATGCTCTGATACCACCTATCAGGAATTAAGGACGAGATTATATATCACAATATGAAGTAACAATCACAACACAAGAAATTAGCATTGTAATGTAATATTCAGTATAATATGAAGAAAGAATACAATAGTATTGTGTATCTAATGTTATTCAAAGTCTATACTGAGCCATCATTTCGTAGAGTATATATATGACACAAGAGAATATGTTTTTATATGGAAAGAGGGTCAAAAAGAAAAATGGAAACAAAATTTCCTCAAATAACACTAGCGCTCAAGCGGTAAAGCTCGAAAGCAGCAAGCGTCGAGCGGCACTGGAGCATCCTATTGCGAGCGGTAACCTTCCTATTTTGAGCACTCGAGCGGGAGATGAGCATTCAACGATCCAAAACGCAACGAATTCTTCTCCTTGGTTCATCTTTAGACTTTTTGAAAGCTTCTTCATCCAAACCATCAATATCTAAAGGAATTTGGGTTTCAATTCAACATGCCCCATCTATTGTACCTACACACCTTGATCAACCCTTGCCCCTCTTTGGATTGCCCCACACGTTCAAGAACCTGGTCATGACTGCATCAGTATTTATGTATTGAAGAGATGATCGACTCCAATAGTAGAGATAATTACTGGATATCTTTTTATAATACGAAGTCCTACGTCTTAGTGATAATTCACAGCGAAGACAATTGGTTGTGTTATGTTTGTGACTCAAATTCCATATGATCTGGAAGTTTGATTCATGGAGGAAGCCTAGATAATATTGGGTTGGAAGTCTGATTTCATAAGGGATCAAATTTTATCATGGATTGAGAGTTTGATTGGGAAAATGACTTTGAAATAAATAAAAAGGCTTTTGAAACACGAGGACGGAGATGGCCACCTAGGCGTCTAGCGTAATTTTTAACTTTAGCATGTCGGCGCCACGGTGCCACCCGTCTAGAGAGAAAAGTCTCTTGGTTGATTTTGATTGCGATTTTTATGTCTTATTTCATCAATAACTCAAAGATTGGGCTCCTATATATACTCCATGAGGTATACGATTTTTATAGACTCAACATAACAATCAAATCATTGTTATATGTATTAGAAACGTGAGAGACTTGTATATATTTAAATTGAGAGTATCAAATCTTGTAAAACAATTTTAGTTTCTTGGTAGATTGAAATTCTCCTTCTCTTCCACATAAATCTTATGTTCTTGTATGATCCATTATTTTTTGTATTACTCTTATTTTTTCGTCTTTATTATTTGGCTTGATTTTCAACTACAGGTTGAATCTTGTGAAACTATTTTTTAGAATTTCATTCATCTTCATCGTGCAAAATACCATATTGAACAAGTATGATCTTCTCCTGTTGTTATGTACTATTGAACCGAAACTATGATTATCTACTAGAAATTTCAATAGAACAATTTCTGAATGTCTACATGGGGAACTTGAATTTACCAAAGACAGCAAAATGTGACTCCAAGTCATTTAGACGTTCGAAAAAATCAGCGATAATGAACTTTGGTGAAGTTACAAAAATACTTTTAAAAAAAATAAAAATAAAAACCACTATTGAGTTGGGAATTTAGCACGATCTCTTACTAGTATTATTCAATGTGTCATAATTTTAGTACGGAAGCTAGAATTCAAAAGCTTTCTAATAGTCTTTCATTGATTTTTTTATTCTGTGCTGTAGTGTGGGAGTCAGGTTTAATTACTTTCCAAGTCACTGCAGCTTGCTAGAGCTTCTCCTCAAGTTGTTGGTCGTTTGTTCTAACAACAAGGTATCTATAGTAGGAGGATGAGCATCTCCTAACGCAAAAGTCGTTGCCTGTTAACGAAAATAATCACTCTTTCTCATTTTCTTAGTCGGGAAGTCAGTGTTGTCCGCGTTCCATGAACATAAATCCCTAAATTTATTTCTCCAAACATACATCAAAATGTCTAACTAAATGTTGTCGGAAATTCGATTACCGCAATCAAAAGAACAAAGAAAAATAATAGAAAGTAAAAATAGAAGATGAAGCGAGGTATGCCA